TGTAAGCATAGAAAATGCAGTGTGGTTTGATAAAACGGACCTAGTATTTCTGATGAAGCAAAAGTGTAGCACCAAAGAATTTCAGAACTACCACTTTGTTTTTTTGCAGATTGGAATAAGTTATAGACAATTTAGTTTGCGTTCGATATTGGTGCACAAGATGACAAAATGTGTTTTGCATGCTTAATTATACTAACATCACCACCAGCCCATCCAACCCTCGACACATACATACAAGTCGAACTCCCACTAAAGTGGCAGCTGGAGCAATGATGAAAGGATTCATTTGACCGGCTTATTAATTGCAGCCGCACGCCAGAAACTGATCAAACTGTTCTTGTATTACCTGTAGATACGATAATAACCAATGTGTGCCCAAGACAAAAGTGTACTCATAAATAGCAGTTTTCTTGCTGTCTCCTACAATAATACAAGTTATATTTGCAATACCAAAGAAAGAAATCTGGTTGGCGAATTAAGTGAAATAATAGCCTGCCAATTACTATAGATTAATTCTAACTTTTAAAAAAAAGTGTTCTAACTATGAGGTTGAGAATCTGCAATTGCACATTAAATGTTGTTGTAATGCAGTCTGTTCGCTTTCTTGCGTATCTTAGCTTTAATATGATTAATTTTTTTACACAGCACCTTCTGGCCCTGGCAACAAGTCGATTAAGACGCAGAGCCCCGCCCCTGCCTCATTCACAACGGCTCGTGCCACCCGGCCAATCGGAAGAGGCGGAACTTGGGCGACGTCTGCTCCCTTATTAAAGGAACGGCGGCGAGCTGTAGGCGGACAGTGTAAGCACGGGGTTGATGAAAGCAAGAAGTGTTGAGTCAGGACGGGGTTTTTTTAAGTCGTTCCGGAGTAAAGATGACCCTGGAGGAATCCAACGGTGTGGAGGAGAAGCAAGCGGAAAGCACCGAGAGGTACGGATTGTGGCTGCTATGTACCGACACGTTTGTCTTTCTTTTCCCCCTCTCGTCCTCGTAGTGCATGGAAGCTGTGCGGGGTTTTGTTTGGTTAATAGTTTCTCTTGGTGGGCAGTGTCTCTGTGCTCTTGGTGTCTGCCCGGGGTGGGGTGGGAAGCGGCTGTTCTGCTGCAGGGTAGTTCCTGCTGTTTGGAACCCATGGTCTCGAGTGATGGTGTCGGTTAGTGCGCGAGAGCTGGGCCGTGGTGGACACGGGACGGGATCCGTTTTAAAAAAAACCCAGAGACCAAAACTCGACACTTGGGGCTGGCAGCAAATGAATACTTTCTCTTCTTTAAGAAAAGAAAGTCTGCTTTCGTATCAGCATCGAGTTGTCGTGCTGCGGAGAGTAAGTCTGTCTCTCCCACTCCCACCCCTAGTTCCTAACACATGTCTTTTAACCTTTTTTTAAAAAAAACACTCCCTCACTTGATTTATTAAAATGTTTTCCAGGATGCAAGTTGCTGGCAAAGCCCTGGAAGAGTTGCTGAGCTCGGCGCAACGTCAGCACTGCCTGACCGTTGGAGTCTACGAGTCTGCAAAGGTCATGAATGTGTAAGTTTCTCTCAAACCCGATTCTTTCAAAATGCACCGCACCAACATCCGTCTCTGTCAGTTAGTAACTAGCTTGTGAGCGAGCTGCTGATTGACTTTTATTGTTTCCTAACTTTTATTTTACTTGCAGTGACCCGGACAGTGTGGTGCTCTGCCTTTTGGCCACTGACGAGGAGGACGAAGGTGACGTTGCTCTGCAAATCCACTTCACTTTAATTCAAGCATTTTGTTGCGACAATGACATTAACATCGTGAGAGTAAATGACGTTCAGAGACTAGCGGAGATTGTCGGCAGTGCAGTTGACAACGAGGAACCCAAGGATATGCATTGCATTTTAGTCACGGTAAGTGCTTTTACCTGAAGCTGAATTAGATTTCTTTTAAACCAGAAATACTGTTATTTCACAATGAGTATGTGACTGCATTTTTATCACATCTAGAATCCAAGCCAAGACTCTTGGAAAGATCCAGCTTTAGAAAAACTTGGTGTCTTCTGTGAAGAGAGTCGCTGCACCAATCAGTGGGTCCCCAACATTTCCTTTCCTGAGCGTTGAATTGTTGCATAGACTTGGTGTTGCTGGAAGTATTGTATTTTGAAGTCGCCTTGTCAAGGAAAAGTTTGGCTTCATGGATCTGTGGATTAGACTGGTATTTTGGTCAAGTCGCATGTACATGTGACCAGTACATAGCTGGTGAATTGGAGACTGAGGACTGATGGCCAAGACTAATGATGCAGCAAGTTGGATAAATGGACTGTTGCGAACAACCATAGACCTGGAGTGGTGCAGAAAGCAGGAAGCACACAGTGCAACCCTGCACATGCCACAGAGCCCTGTTTCTGTCACTTGGAGGAGATTAAATGAAAGCTCAAGACCAGCATGGGAGCTGTGGGACTCTGATCTGATTCTATACCAATATTGTTTAGTTATGGAAGAGTTCATTTTGATCCAGAATAGAATTCAGATATTTACAGCTCTTGAGCTTTTAATTTTCTAAAAACATTTAAATTTTAATACTTGGTTCATGTAGAGCAGATTAAATTTTTGAAATAAAGCATGTGAACTTTGACTCTTTTTATGCTTCATAATTCAACTTCCTTTGAGAGGCTCAACCACTGATACTAGTACTTGCATCAGTTAAATATCAGCTGAGCTGTCAAAATGACACTTCCACCCACTGACAAATTGTCACAACCTACATATTAGTAATTTCTGTGACAACTTGTGAATCAAAGTAGAACAAGGGGAAATCTTACCTAGGAAATTTGAGTGATAATCCTCAATCTGCACTTGATGGGGAAATAGTAGTGGTTTTTAAAAATTGTATTTTCATCTGTTGCCCTTGTGGCTTTGTGTATACCTGCCATTGGTCAATATTCCTCCATTCCTAGCACATGAATGTGCTTATCTTAAAAATCCCTTAAATGCCCTTATCGTATCTGCCACCACCCCTGCCAGTGTGATCCAGACTCCTATTTTTTTTTTTTAAAAAAGAACTTGTCTCTGCCTCCTTTTTAAATGCATGCTCCCTTGTTTTAGGTTCTGGGAAAAATTCAGATTATTAACCCTATCTATGCATCTATTTACAGTGGAAATAGCAGATGGTAAAGTTGGTTTATAAATCCAGTGTTTTGGATTCTGACATCAACTTCTGAGGGCTAGAAGTTGGGGAAACAGACCATCCTTGGGGCGGGTAAGGTAAACTGGAAACCCATGAGTAGTGAAGAGTTTTTTTTTAGAAAAAGCTTTTCACTGTAATAAAGTAGGTCACATGAAGTCTTTTCACAATTTAGAAAAAGCACTGGGATGCTGGATGTGGGGAAACAGGATAAGCCAGTGAGTTTTGTTTGAATGATGAAGGAAAGAGCATGAAAGCTGAACCAGAATGTGAAACCTGACCAAGGATTGGTTGATCAGGAAGTGCCTGATAACTTGAAAGAGTTTACTTCTGTATGCCAGAGGAGTAATTTTGAGATACAAGAGTTGTATCAAAAAGTGTGCAAAATCATAGAATCCCAGCAAGTCCACACTGATCCTCGTAGCATCCTGCCTAGACCCATCCTCCATAACCCACCTAATCTACACATCCTTGAATACTATGGACAATGTAGCACAGCCAATCCACCTAACCTGCACATCTTTGGACTGTGGGAGGAAACCAGAGCACCCTGAGGAAACCCACACAGACAGGGGGAAAATGTGCAAACTCTATACAGACAGTTGCCCGAGGGCGGAATCAAACCCAGGTCTCTGGCCCTGTGCTAACCACTGAGTCACCATGCTAGTGTATCCCAGAATGTTACTACTAAATGGAGTCTTGATGTGGCAATGGAGGCCAGCACCTTCAGCTGGATGAAGTGGGAAGGCATTTATCAACTTCTATTGCTGCTTGCTTTTAGAAAGGACCTGTTACAGGACCTAATTACCATCAGGCAGTCATTTGGGAGTAAGGAAAAACTCAAGCCAAAATTCAAAAATGTTATTGGCCTGGACTGTCTAAGGATGTGGTTGAATTTTGCTGGATATGTCATAAGTCAGGAAAACCTCCACAGTCATAAAACCAGCATACTTAATACCCATTCCCATGTTTGAGGAACCTTTTACAAGAGTCTTATGCAATTGACTGAGACTCCTACCTAAAACAAAAAGTGGGACTCCAGTATTTGTTGACAAGAATGGATGCGTCCAATAGATTTTCAGAAGCCATTCAATTATGCAGTATTATGGCTAAAAGGATCATAAAAGAGTTAGTCAATTTTGTTATGAGATCCAGACTATCCACAGAAATGCAATTGGATCAAGGGTCAAACTTTATATCAACATTATTCAAGGAAGTTACGGATAGCTTGGGAATAAAACAATTCTGATCTATTGCATACCATCCAGAATCACAGGGACCATTGGAACAGTGACATCAAACTTTACAGACTATGTTGAGAGCTTATGGTCAAGTCTATTTAGAGGACTGGGATAAAGGAATTCCATTTGTACATTGTGGAATTAGGAATGAACCTAATGAAATCAACTAAATTCAGTCCATTTGAGTTAGTGATCCTTTCACCTCATGCCCAAAAACTGAAATTAATTGTGGAGAAGTTGGTGAGTCAGTTCAGAGATCACATACTTGGGCTACGTGTCAAATTTTAGGGGAAAGATAAAATAGAACAATTGAGTTGCCTAGACAGCATTTGAAAGTAGTGCAACTTGTGATGACATAGGAAGCAGACAAGAAATCAAAATTCATAATTTTGCTAATAGAGGGAAAGTGTTAGTGTTACTCCCATTTGGTAGGTGAACCTTTAAAGGCAACATTTAGATTTTGGAAAATTGCTGGATTAATATTCTTAGAACATGGTAACAGTATCCCAAAATGAGCCTTGCATCATTTGTTGGATGTATTGCAAGAATAAACTAAAGCTTCAACTTTCATGTAGTACTAGTTATTTTTAAAGTGCTATCAATCTTACATATACACTTTTATTCAGAACAATTTGTGTCAATTTTAAAATGTTAGTTCTAAATGATATTGAAACAAGTTTGTTGAAAATATACTCCACCCTACTCACTGGCTCACAATGACACATATGACAGGTCCAGCTAAAGGATGCATTTTTAAGATTGTCCCAATCACGTCAACATTGTATGGTTGATAGTAGTCTAATAATCTAGGGCACTTTGATAACTCACCCAATAGTGCACTAACAGAGGTTCTGATAGTCACTGCAAATTTACCAATATAGCTCAGATAACAATCAGTCAACGTGCATGTAGAGAGCCTTGGTTGAAGCAACAGCAGAAAAGAGGTATGTGAAAGAACCCTGTAACTTGACCAGCCTACATTCAAGCATTGTGTTCCAACCAGGAGCAAGTATTCAGTAAACGGAAGATGGAACAGGATATTAATCAGATTTTGTAACAGCTTTGACTTTGCGATAGTCCACACAAAATTGTTGGGTACCATCTGGTTTGGCACCATTGCTATGGGTGAGCTCCATTCACTGCAACTACATTGAATATATTGTCTTTGAGCATGTGTTCAAATTCTTTTTGAACATGTGCTAACTTTAAAAGGTTAAGTCTATGAGGATGTTGCTTAATTGGAACAGCATTTCCTATATCTATATTATGCATTATTAGATTAGTACTTCCCAGCTTATTCCCACATATCTCCCCATGTGATTCTAATAACTCTTTTAGAGCATTTTGATTTTTCTCTGCAAGGTAACTCAATAAATTATCCCAATTTTTGAGAACTTCCTCATTCGGAATTCTTTTGTCTGGATTTCCTACCTAAACATTTGTCTTCCTTAAATTACTTACTTGTCAAAGCATTTGGTCATCTGTTCTATTTTCTCTGTGTCCTGGTGTCAAATTACTTTGATTATTGTTGTGAAGAGTATTGGAACATTTTACTAAGTTAAAAGCACCACATAATAAATTGTTACTCTTGGTGAAATGCATTCTCCTCCTTTGCTGTTTTTCAAAAGTAATATTTGAAGTAATAATTTTTGAACAATAGATCTTGAGGCTGGATACAACTGTGGTTATTAAGTCTTAACTTTTTGTCCATTGAAAGGAATAAAAAAAATTAACAGTAGAATGTTTTGTTCAGGTAAAGCAGGAAAGCTCAGTTGCCTTGAATGGACAGCCCACATATAACTGAGATAGCAGGAACTGCAGTTGCTGGAGAATCTGAGATAACAAGGTGCAGAGCTGGATGAACACAGCAAGCCAAGCAGCATCAGAGGAGCAGGAAGGCTGACGTTTCGGGCCTAGACCCTTCTTCAGAAAGAAGGGTCTGAAGAAGGGTCTAGGCCCGAAA